AAAAAAAAGAAAAAAAATAGCATGTTTTCTCCCTGCCAAAATCTTTGAGGACAACAGATGATCCAGGAAAGCTGCTCTGTGTTTCTGCTGCACTTTGCGTTCTCCCTGGCGGAGCTTGGGGGGCGGGGGGCCTCTGGGGCCTGGGCAGAGGAGCTCCATTATCTGTAAACACAGGCTCTCCAGAGGCCTAGAGAGTTTCCAGGGATCACAGAGCCCTGAGCTTTTCTATTCTTCATGTCCTGGGAGATGCCATTCACGGGACTCTCTCAGGCCCTGAGCTCAGCTCGGGCTCACTGAGGCTGTACTGTCTCGCGCTGACTCCCCCATGGCTCCTTCCCCTGGGCGGGCACATCTCGGCATCACCTCAGACCCTCTGTCCTGCCACTCCACACCCGGCCGGCCGGCTGCCAGGTCATGCCCATGTGGCCTTCCCCGAGCCTGCACACTTCCCTGTTCTGCGCACTCCCTCCTCATCCCTGCAGGCCCGTCTCTGGCCCAACCACAGCAGTACGTGCTGTGTGCCCCCAACTCAGCACACTGTCCTCACGTAGTCTGTGTGCTCTGGGATCTGCCCCGAGTCAGGCACACAGCAGTCGTCATGCCCTGTGATCCACGGCAGGACAGAATCACAAAGTGCTGAGAAAGAGACAAATGCTGGGGGCAGGGAAGAGAAGGACAAATGTCACCTCCTCTAACTCATCCTTGAGACTTCAGCCCAAAACTCACCTCCTCTGAGGAGACTTCCCTCCCCTCCAGATGAGACCAGGGCCCTCAGTTACGGGGTCCCACCACTCCCTGTCTGCTTTTTTCCTAGCACTTGCCAGAATTTGCAATTAGACATTATCTTGTCTGACTACAGCAGTACTGAGGATGGTGGGGTGGAACCCCTACTGTGTCTCCAGAGGGAGCCTGAGGAAGCAACAGGGGTCACTCACCCACAAAGCAACCCAGAAATACAAGTATCATTAACCCCATTTCACAGAGGAGCAGACTGTGGCTGAGAGCAAGAAAGGCTGTCTTAGTCATCTAAGGCTATGTAAGAAATCACCCCAAAATTTCACTGGAAGAAATGAACATTTATGACCTGTTTATTATTCCTGGGGTCAGGCATCTGGGCGGGGCTGGGCAGGCATCTGGCTCTGCATCTGTCCACGAGGCTTCAGTCCAGTCTCATAACTGGGACACGCTGTCCAGGAGCTGGGCTCTCTGCCCCACATCAGCATGGCGAGGACCGGGCCGGGACTGGCAGCTCCCACCAGGCCCAGGACCCCTACCCTGCCTGGGCCTCAGCTTTCTGTAAACCACACCCACTGCTCTCTCCTCCCGTGGAAGCCCGATAGCATTCGCCCCCTGGCCCCGGGGGCTGCTGGGGTCCAACATTTGCTCTCAAACCCCAGACCTAGGGGAACACACGGATGGGCAGTCGGCTAGAGCCCTGGGCCATCTGTCACTCTCCTGGGGCTGTGAGTCCTGTTTCATCTGAGAAGTGAGCAGAGATGTGGGGTAAACCTAGCCTGATAAATTTCTCTCTCTCCCAGATTGCCTTGTCTCACACTTGGAAAGCCTGAGCAGCCTGGACCCCACTTTGAGGTTACAAGGAAGATCACGGTCCTTTCGTCTTTCCCACAGTAAAGTTAACTCTCACTGGGTGTCCCCTCTCCTGGGGCTGGTGGAAAATTAAATCTCAACTGTTCGGCGGGGGGCAGGGGGCTCCCACCCCATCCTCCGCCAACCCTTTTGGGGTAGTGTGGTCCTGGGCAGTGGGTTTAGTGGTGACATCCCCAAGACAATGGAGGCTGAGTGAGGGCAGTGGTTTTCATCTGTTTTGCGCACAGATGCGCATATCCGAGCAGGTCGTGCATCCGCCCATCAGACCTGCAGTGAATCTTTGGGAGTGTTGAATGGACGGCCTCTGGTCCTGCTGCTGCGCTCCTTGGCCTAATATACACAGTGCCTTGAAGGGAGGGACAGAAGGGATCTTCGCCAGCTAGGTCAGGATCCTGTATTCCCTTGGGCGGTGCCAGCAGGTGATGCCAGAGTGAGGAGTGCCCCTGTTCTGGGACACCTGCTTCCACCCCTTCCCCCAATTCCAGTATGTTCTCCCGTTCGGTCAGACCTGCCTCCCCATTCTCAAATCTCCCAACTTCCATTGTTTTACCTGGAAATATCTTTTCTCCAAAATAAAGGCTCTTCTTCCACCCTGCCCCCAGCGGGGAGTGGGGGGGCAGGGATGGGAGGTGGGGGAGACAGGGAGGCTCCCAGGAGGCCGGGCTTGGGGAGGGGAGGGGGGCTAACTCCATCTCCAGCTCTGATTCTTCCAGATCTTCCCCAGCAGGGAAGGACACACAGGTTTGCATCTCAACCAGCTTTCCAGCTCAGAGTGGCAGGCTCCGCATGAAGGAGTGGGGAGAAGCCAGGAGGAAGGCGAGAGCACAGAGGTGAAGCACTTTGAACCCTGTGGGTTCCTGGTCTTCCCAAGGATCATTCTTATCTTGCTCCCTTCAGGCTTAGTCACACAAGGATAAAAAAGACTCAGGCCCTTCTACCGTGCAAAGCCCACATATATTGTGCACTTACTGGATACTAAGGACGATGTCAAGTGCTTTTCAGGGTCATCTCATTTAGTCTTTGCAACTGACCTTCGAAATGGGTACAAATACTCCTACTTTACAGACAAGGAAACTGAGGCGCAGGGAGGAGTGGCTCGCCCAAGAGCTATTACAGGAGAATCACAACACGAATATTCCTGATGCCACTGTCCATACCTATAATTATCACATCCTCCTGCCCCTTCCAGGTCACAGCCACAAGGGATCCCCACACCATAGAAGAACAATGAACAGAGTGGAGGACATTCAGAGGAATTCATGTCCAGCCCAGCCATCCAGGAGGGCTTCACACAGAGCCTGGGAAATAGGTGCACCCGAGGAGCAAAGGCTGTGAGATGGGGAAGCACGGGGAAGGTTCTCGCACTTGAAACCATCCTCTTAAGTTCATGACTTAAGGAAGTGGGGAAGTGAGGGAGCAAGGGGGTGAGAAAGGTGTGCTGGGGCCGCACTGTATGTAATAATGTGGGGTCCTCCTGGGAGCACACCCAGGGCCTGGCCAGCCTGGGAAAGTTCAACTGTGAGTCACGTGGGCCACAGAGCCCAGCCCTAAATGCTGGGAGAGAGAGGGGGTCCAGTTCCTATGTGCCCAGCTCCTTTGCTGGAGGCTGAGACCCTAATCTCCAAACCTGTGGCCCAGCAGCAGCCTCCTCCAGACCCCTCCACCCAGACAGCCCAGCCAGCCTCCAGGTCAAAGCAGTGCAGGAAGAGGAGAGCCCATTCTGACCAGATTATGTTTGTTTATACCCAGCTGTGGGGCAGGCCCTAAGAGGACTGTTCACAGTTCCAACTCAGACCCAGCCTGAAAACCAACTGGACTGTTTTTCTCTTCCTAGCAGCCCTCAGAGAGCTCAGGAAGAAGACTGATTGTTAGGACCAAAGAGATGACAGTTTTCCCCACTCTTTCCAGCGGCAGTTAAGGAAAAGAGTGCATTACACATACACTGAGATTCTGGGTAAGATTTTTTTGTTTAAAAGGCTCATTTACTAAAAATATTTTTAAAGTATCTCTCTCTCTCTCTTTTTTTGAAATTGCTCAGATTGTCCAATTCTCTCCATAAGTGAGGAATCAGAGGTCCAGAGAGGGCCTGGAAGTCACCTGAGGCCACACAGCAGTGAGTGGCAGTCTGCTTCTTCCTCTCCTCCCCACCTGTGCTTCTGCGTTCTCTGTCACTCTCTCTCTCAAATAAATAATTAAAATCTTTTAAAAAAAAAAAAAAGGAGCACTGAGCTGGGGTTCACAGGGAACACTGGGCCCCGGACTAGCTCTAGACTCTGCCAGAGTCAGGCTGCCTGGGATTGAACCCACTGCATGCTAGGCGAATTTGGGCAAGTACCTTAATATTCCTGTGCCTCAGTTTCCTCATCTGTAAAACAGGGATAATAGGGATGGTAATAATAGGACCTATCCCCATAAATTAGTTGTGAGAACATTAAGTAGGATAATACAGGTTGAGAGTTGAGGACAGTGTTCAGTACACAGTGAGTACTCAATAAAAATTAGTCTTTGTTGTTTTTGCTCCTTGAGCCACGATTAACCCCCAAATTCCCCATCATATTAAATGATATGCACTTGGAAGACAGATGTTTGTCCAAGAGTCAAGCCTGATGCCTGGGGTGGGACAGCGAGTGTGGGAATGGGGAATTGCTTAATACACGCACCTGGAAGTATTAACACCTGTAAAATGGGCACATGCAACGGGCATTGGATTGGAAGGGGGCAAAGGCGCCCCCTTCCCCAGAAATCCTCCCCCCTCCAACCACAGCAACTCCTCCAGGGGCTGAGGGCTGGTGAATGAATGTTTGAATGAGACATATTCCCGTGTTTGATGTTCAGTAATAATGAGCTTGTATGCAGGCTGAGTCACCAAACCTGACTCACGTCTGTGCCATACATAGACAGCCATACAATTTCAGAGGCACAGCATCAACGATCCTGGAAATTCATTCATTTAACAACCATTAATTGGGTGCCTGGTAACCTACTGATTCATGAGTTGGAAGTGGGTAAAACATTATTTAGAAGCTACACAAGGGCAGGCAGTTTACTTAAATGTTATTGGGCACGTGTTCCCTAAGCACCTGTCCTCTGATCTTGAACAAACTATATTTAAACGTGGCCTTGTTTAGGAATTAATGAGAGCCAACTGATCTTTCAGAAGACCTCAATTTGCAGTTTTGGTCAAAAGCCCATCAGCCTTTACAAATGAAGACCTGTCTTTCTGGGTTGGGCTAACTCCTTTGCCAGTTAAAAGCTTTCTGTGTCTTTAAAAGGGGGCGGCACCCTGTCAAATGAACCCTAAAGCATAGGCTGAAGGCACGTGAAGTCCCACCCACTTTCTGTGACGTCTGTGTCCCGGCTTCTGATTGCCCACTTCAGACGTCAATCGCGGGGCGTGTGTCTTGCTGGGACACAGTGGAGGTCTAACCTGTGGTTTGCGGAGCGGTCGGGTGTATTCTCCGCTCGCCCCCACGCCCTCGAGGCCCCTGCCGCCCGACCCAACGGCGGAGCCAGCCCGTGGCTTCCGTGGCGCCCTCCCGCACCGGATCGCTCCTTGCTGGGGCGGGACCTGGCCCGACGGCTCCGGTCACTATGGTCAGTGTCGTGGGGGGAACCGGGGGAGGAGGAGCTGGAAGGGGGCGCGGTGGGCGGGCTCGCAGCCGGGGCGCATGTGCGCTCGCGGGACTGGAGATGAGCGTCAGGCTCAGTCCCCAGCGTGGCTCCCGCGGCGTTCGGACCCCTCGGAGGGGTGAATAGGGACGGATGCTGGGGGGGGCCCCGTCCTTCCTGGGAAGGCCCTGTAAGGCCCCGCCGTCCCCCGTGGACGCGCAGCGAAGGGGACCCAGCCTGGCCTCTAGGACCCCGTCCCTGGCGCTCTCGTCCCCGGTGTCCCCGAGGGTGCCGCCCCGACGGCGCAAGGACAGGAACGGGAACTGGGAGGCTCCAGGACTAAGGTCGTCCTCTTTGTTAAGTAGCCCGGCAGTGGGCAGCTCGGGGCGCCACCCACTCAGGGCCTTGGCCATCGGAGACCTCCCCTTTCCCCCAACCCCACAAGTGACTTAGGAGGTGCAGGAGCTGTGGTCGCAGGACATGCTCTCCATCCCGCACATCAACAGAGGGTGTGTGCATTAGGACGCCCATGGAGAGGCTGCCTCAAGTTGTGAGGCACATGAATTCGGGGTCTAGGCAAAGCGAAGACTAGAGGAACCCCTGATTCAGAGTCTTGTTGGAGCAAAAATGGCCCCAGAGACACCCTGAGCCAGGCCAAACCTGGAACTTGAGTAGGTGGGGAAACTGAGGCCCAGGTAAGGAAAGGGACTGGGACTGATTGTGGTGGCTCTGGGACTTGAACCCAAGCCTCTGGACTCCCAGTCCAGTGCTCCTTGTGTTACATCAGTCCACCTTCAAGGGCATGGGGGGAGGGGTCAGGCAGTCTGCAGGGGATTAGGTGTGAGGATGGCCTGAAATCCCTTATTCCTGAGCCCCCTGCTCCAGGGAACCTGTAGAGTGTGAGGGCTGGGGGCCCTTATGGTGGCTTGGGGTCGCACAGCTCTTGAGTTCAGATGCCTCCTCCAGCCCTTGGAAAGCCAAGAGGCTTTGGTTGGTCTTCCCCCCCCCCCCCCACCCAGCTCCCCCTTACCCAGCACTACTTTGTGCGTCTGTACAATGGGCACTGTGAGGACAGCGAGGTGACCCACGTGGGGTGCTTGGCCCAGGTAACTAGCTGCAGCTGTTCCTCTGACAACAGTCCTGGAAGTCGGTGGTCACAGGTGTCTGGTTCTTCTTGGCCTCCTGCCTCCTGCATCTGCACAGGGAGATGGTCACCCCTTCAGGATGCTGCCGATGGGGAGGGGCAAGAACCGTAACATACTTCGGACAAGTACGATGTGGCTGACTTGGGTCATCTCTCTGGCAGTGTGGCGGACACAGGGCTGGAGGCTTGGACATTTGTTCACCCGTCCACTCAGTCTGCATTTCTAGAGCATGACCGTGTGCCAAGTACTGGGGATCTGGTCTTGACAGGCATACAAAATCCCTGCCCTTGTGTTGTTGACATTTAAGTGGAGGGACAGACAGACTGCAAGGAAACGAGCAAACCTACGTGGTAGCCGGTGCGCTGAAGAAATAAAGCAAGTCAAGGTGGTGGGGGAGGGGCGACATGACACAGGGCACTCAGGGAGTGATGGCACCTGAGTCTTAAGAAGAGGAGCATCTGGGCAGCAGGAATAACATGTGCAAAGGCCCTGAGGTAGAAATGGGCATGTCTTGTTGGAGGAACACAGAGAGGGTTACTGAGGCTGGATCCCTGGAAGCATGAGGGAAGCAAGGCTGGCTGTTGTAGGACTTGGGAGGTTGTCATCAAAAGGCTGAGTCCTTTCCTACATGAGGGGAGCCCCGGGAGGAAATTGAGGACAGTTGTGCCCTTCTCTGGCTTGCATGTGCAGCAGCCTGGAGGATGGTGGGAAAGGGGGGCAAGAGCAGAAGCCGGTGCTGTTGCAGCCTTCCTGAAGGTAGATGATGGCAACTCTGGCCTGACCCAGGAGCAGAGCCGATGGGGAAAAGAGGAGAGCAAGAGGGGTGCCGGGTTTGGCATAAGCTCTGGCTGGATGGAGGGGGCCTTTTGGGGAGCTGAGACCCCTGGAGGGGAGGCAGGTGTGGAGCGAGAGAGAAGTTGGGGCACAGTAGCTCGGGGATGCTGGTCAGACATCCTGGTGGCTCCTAGCTGTTTGAAGCCAGAGCGTCAGGGGGAGGTCAGGGCCAGAGACGAAAATCGGAGGCTCCTTTAGGAGATGTGTGAGTCCGGGCGTCAAAGGAGAGAGTGGCTGGGCTCTGAGTTCAGGGTCTCTGCAAGGCTAGCCAATAATTGTGACTCAAGAGAGGGGGGCACCCAGATGCAGGGTCTTCCCTGTTTCCTTAGCTGAACAGCACAGAAGGGGCATGTGAGGGGGCAGGCTGAGGAACAGCCCCCCAAGGATTTCCACACCTGATCCCCAGAAACTATGAATAAGGTCTCTCACGTGGCAACAAGGGCCTCACAGGTGTGAAGTTATGGGTACTGAGCTGGGAGAGGGCCTGGATCACCCAGGTGGGGCCTGTGATGTCATCACAAAGGTCCTTATAACAGGGCTGGGGGCAGAGGCAGGAGGGTTCACGTGAGGGTTCACGTGAGGAGTGGTGGAAGGAGGGGGATCATGAACCAAGGAACGCAGGTAGCTTCTAGAAAGTGAAAAAGGTAAGGAAATGGGTCTTCCCCTGGAGCCCCCAGAAATGCAGGCTAACAAATCTGTGTTATTAAGTCACAGAATTTGCTCACTTGCCATAGCAACAACAGGAAGCCAGTTCTGGACACTAGGTCTTCCCTAGATCTTTTCCCTCCAAACACTGTGATCACTCATCAATAAAAAAATGGATTATTCTAGACCTTCATGTATCCTCCATCCTGTCCTAATGTAGACCATTCAAAGGGAGTTTCCCTGTAGCTCCAGCAGCAGCCCACTGGGGAGACCCCAGTCCCGGGCAAGCAAGACCAGGGCTAGGGCCCCAGGGAGACTTGGGAAGTGACAAAGAGCTTCTGAGAGGAGAGGGACGGTTGGCCAGGTTCTGAGCCCTGTCCCGGTGACCCCTGGAAGCTCTGGCCTCTACTGGGAAAGAGCCAGTAGCTTGAGGTCAGGCCAAGCGGTGAGTCGTGGCTTCTGGGGTACTGGGCCTGGTTAATGAGGCTGACTCAGCCTGCGGTCAGCCATGCCCCTGGAGCAGCCTCGGAGGAAAGTCAGGCTGGCCGAGGGCTTGGCACTGCCTACTGGGGCCCACCAGCACCCCAGAGCCTGGGCTCGGGGCTGTGCACAGATGCAGTAAAGGGCACGTTGAGAGGGGCTCTGTAGGCAGAAGTGTGAGTCCTGACCATTGAGGAGGTGGCAGGAAATGACAAGAGGGCACACATGAGGGTCAAGTGGGTTCTGTTCCTAGAGGATAAGAAGGTGCAGGAAGGCACCCAGGTCTGTCGAATCCTTTTTTTTTTTTTTAAGTACACCCCAAGCTCAGCATGGAGCCTGATTCGGGGCTTGGACTTTCGACTCCGAGATCAAGACCTGAACGGAGATCAAGAGTCACATGCTTTATCAGCTGAGCCCCCCAGGTGTCCCTTGAATACTTTTGATGGGCTGGGTGAGCAGGGTCTGAGTCCCTACCAAAGACTGCCTCACTGTGTGACCTCAGGCAGATGGCTTGACCTCTCTGTGCCTCCATGTCCATTTGTAAAACATATTTCAAGGCTTAAAGGAGATAATCCACAGCACCTGCCACAGTGAATGTCCAGCAACAGTGGTTTCATTTCACTCAGCAAGTGATCACTGAGTACCTGCTGGGCACCAACTGCTGGAATGTTCCAAGGACTTGGGGTACAACTTTGAACGAAAGGGACCAAGGACCCTGATCTTCTGGAGCTTTATTGTCCTACTGTTTTGCTTCTCATGAAAGCCCAGGGAGACTGAATTCAGATCTTGAGCTGTACCTATTCCAAGAGAAGCCTACTGAGAACTCATGGGAGGGCGGGGGTCTTGCTTGGGGTCACATGTCATCTCATGAGACAGGCCTTCAGGGCCAGCTGGACTGAGCTACCAGAGCCTACTCCTTTTGGCTCTGCCCCTCCCTGTCCTGCAGCCTGTCAGCCCATCCCATCATCTCCCAAGGGTACCTGGAGATCCTTGAACAGCTGGGCACATGGGGCTCCCTCGGGCAGGGAGGCAGAGCTGTGGGACTGGAACTCCCCCATCACCCTGGCAGGGGCCGCTCCCTGTCCCCACTTGGAGGCCTCTTCACAAGAAGCTTTCAGGGTTTTGAACCAAAGTGGTTGTTTGCGCAGACTGGGCTACAGGTGCAGGGCTGGAGGAGCCTGGCTTTTTGCTGGTCTGAGGCTGCTGGAGCAGTGCTTGGGGTTATGTGGCAAGGTTTTCGTTCTGCAGAGGCTTTGGAGAGAAAACCGGAGGAAAATGGGGAACCTGACTCTCCCCCTGCTTGGAGGGGGTGTGGCCTCAGGCTGGGATCCACTCTGCCACAGTATGTGCTTGGATTTCCACCCGGGGTTTTAAGGCTGCAGGAGGAAACCAAGCCAGGGAGACCGAGGCCAGGCTCCCAGTGAGGACTCAAACCTGGTCTGAATGCCCAGCCCGCTTGCGAGTGCATGGGGCTGGGTCCCAGGACTGCCAGGGAAGAGCCAGTGATGGCAGAAATGTCCTTTTCTCACTCTGAAATGCAGGCCTCGACTTAACCTGCTAAGTGCTGTTTCCAAGCCGACTTGCCCTCTGCCTGACTTAATTAGCATGTATTTGCACACCAGCAGTTAAAGACTAAGATCCTTTCAGGTGTCCTGATTAGGTCTGACAGAACATTGCCAGGCCTGTCCTTTCAACAACATCCTGGAAATTTTCAGCCACGATTAGAATATAATAAAATAATACCAATTAAGAGTCAGCCAATGTCAAACCCAGAGAGCATTGTGCCAGATATACGGGCCAGTACTTTGAGGCTATACCCAAGTTCTCCGTGGCATTTGAGACTCTTGTTTTTCCCCAGAGCTGTGATGAGGGCAGTGCTGCTGGGGAGGTGGTGGTGGTGGGCCGGGGGGGTGGGGGGTCGTGGGCAGGGACCTCAGACTTGGGCCATTCTGGAAAACCCCATGCTCCACGCTGCCCCGATAAATCCACCTGCGACCACAGGGGGGCGCTAGAGCTAACCCAAGGCTCCATCACCTGTGGTGGAGAAAACGACCAGTGAACCTTTTGTCAGGAGGGGCAGATCTTAAAATAGTATTGAGTGTGTTTTTGTGTGTGGTGTAAGGAAATGGTCCAGTTTCATTCTTCTGGATGGAGTTGTCCAATTTTCCCAACACCATCTGTTGAAGAGACTGTCTTTTTTCCATTGGAAATTCTTTCCTGCTTTGCCGAAGATTAGTTGACCATAGAGTTGAGGGTCCATTTCTGGGCTCTCTATTCTGTTTCACTGATCTATGTGTCTGTTTTTGTGCCAGTGCCATACTGTCTTGATGATGACAGCTTTGTAATAGAGCTTGAAGTCTGGAATTGTGAGGCTGCCAACTTTGGTTTTCTTTTTCAACATTCCTCTGGCTATTTGAGGTCTTATGGAGGGTCTTATGCTAAGCGAACTAAGTCAGTCAGAGAAAGACAATTATCATATGATCTCCCTGATATGAGGAATTTGAGAGGCAGGGCAGGGAGGGGCGGGGGTCATGGGGGAAAGGGAAGGTAAAAAATAAAATAAGATGGGACCAGGGAGGGAGACAAACCATAGAGACTCTTAATTTCAGGAAACAAACTGAAGGTTCCTGGAGAGGAGGGGGCTAGGAGGGATGGGGTGGCTGGGTGATGGACACTGGGGAGGGTATGTGCTATGGTTGAGTGCTGTGAATTGTGTAAGACTTAACGATTCACAGACCTGTATCCCTGAAGCAAATAATACATTATATGTTAATAAAAAAAATAAAATATTGGGTGAAGCAAAATAAAAAGGCCACAGTATGTGTAGAATAATCTGTGTGCACATTTAAGACAGGTGCATACATAAAACAACTCTGTAGTTTTAAGACCAGTGGATTCCACTTACATGAGATCCCTGGGCTAGACAGATTCAGAGATGGTCAGATGGCAGCAGCGGGGATGGGGAGTTCATGTTTAATGGGTGGAGTGTCAGGTGGGGAGGATGAAAAAGTTCCGGGGATGGAAGGTGGTGACAGTTGCACAACCATGGGTGTACAGAATGCCACAGAACTGCACACTTAAAAGTGGTTATGGGGGAATATTTTATATATACTTTCCCTCAATTGATTCCCTCAGTATTGAGGGACTCAATAATTTTGAGGGAAATTAGTATAATGTATACAGTATACTGAGTATACTCAGTGCTCTGTCAGTATCAGTAATATTTGATACTGAGGTAAATTCAAATATTCCCTCAATACCTCAGTATTTGATACTTTCCCTCAATCAATAATATCAATAATATTGAGGGAGTGAAGTACCTCAATAAAAAGGTACTTACTGAGGGGTGCCTGGGTGGCTCAGTGGGTTAAAGCCTCTGCCTTCAGCTCAGGTCATGATCTCGGGGTTCTGGGATGGAACCCCGCGTCGGGCTCTCTGCTCAGCAGGGAGCCTGCTTCCCTTCCTCCCTCTCT